TAATTGGAATGTTGTATCAGTTTGAAATTTTCTTAGTCTCTTATAACGCACACACACTTTGAAAACTTAACAGTTCAAATTCGGAATCTCTAAGAAGAATAACAATTTTTTCTACCATTGAGGTCACTCAATGAGTTTAATTATGATGAGTTAATTAGAAAATAAGGTTAATGTTTCATAAAAAAGATTAATGTACTAAGTAATATTAGAGTTATAACCCCAAATTATACATGAATTACATTTTTTGACATCTCATCTTTAAAATAATTATTCGAAAAATAAAATAATTAAAAATTTTAAACCTGAACATTAATGTTTCGTTTGGCTGAATGAAAAAGAAAATGAAAACAAATAAATTTTAAACATGAAATAAAATTAAGGAGAAAGAAGATGAGAAGAATGATAATTTTTCATTGTTATTGGTAAAAGTAAACCACTCTCATTCGAAAGAAGCTATGAGAGATCTATCAAATCATGAATTTAAAAGGCTTTCTTTCAATTTTTTATTTTTTACCAAATACACTAATAAAAAAACAATATTCTAATTTTCTTATAAAGTATATTAATGGAATTATATTTTTAAAAAGTTTATAATAGTAAGAAGATGATTATTTTATGGTAACTAAATACAATTTAAAGATTTATCACATGTGGACCGTTTGAATTTCTTACAGAAAATCGGTTTGGACTAAAAAAAGGCAAGCATGTCATTATTAGCAATCCTGATGATATTGAACTTTTCTTCATTTTCATAACTTTTCTTCATTTTCATGACATTCTTACTAACTTGTATCCAGACATCTGCTTCGCCATAGAGGATTTTGACTTCACTTTTGATGCAGTGGTAAATACTCAGCTGTTTGCATACGATGATGTTATTTGCATTAATGCATCTGATTAGATGTGGGACACCGTACATGATGTTTCAACTATGATAGTATTACTGCTTTCCAGTCACAACCCGTTTTAGAAGGCATTGAGCTAACAAGGAGTTGGAACTTGGTATTTGTGTAGCATGTACAAGGATCAAACTCACTTGTTTATTTGAAGATTTACATCCTTCTTGGTTCACTAGGAAAGCAGAAACATTTTGTTAATTGTAGATTTGCAGTACCAGTATGTAGTTGTGACATTTTTTTCTCCTCATGCAGGTCCTGACAGATACGGATCATTGCTACTGTGTGCTACTTAATGCACTAGATGGGGCAGCCTTTCCTAGTGTCACAGATACAAATCCAGTAACAAATTACCACTAAGAGTAGATACTAATTCTACGAAGATGAAAATTATAAGCTTTGGGTCCTTTCTGATGGTTTATTTGTTTTAGTTGCATGATCAACCAGGGCCTTCGCATCTGAAGGAGAAGCTTTGAGCTGCTTGTTTTTTTTCGGTGACTCCTATTTTATTCTCATGAATTAATTCTGAAGTTATAAATACAATTTTGGTGATGGTTATCATCAAATAGACTGATGCTTGAGTTTCCAAATTAAAATGGTTTTATTCAGTGAAAACCCGCTTTGGAATTGTCTCTGTGCAACAAAGATCAGTTTCCGTACAACTTTACATGCTTCAAATCGTAATGGAAACTTTAATTTGCATTTTTGTGTGGATTTGTCAGCTATCAAATGGATTGGGATGCATATGGTGGTAGACCCTTTTACTATGCATTTCTAAGAATTGGCTTCTATTCTTGTTCTTTGAGAATTCTGCAAAAACTCAGAATACTTTCTACTTTGTTTATTCGTTGAATGTTGATGAAGAAATTGGTCGATATTTAAAACACACTTATTGAATCTGGTTGTTTTGTTTAAGGAATAACTAATGTATCTTTTACTGCAGTCTTGTAAGGTTGGCACCCATTGGTGCTTTCTGGTGCAACATTTTCTTCATTTTTCAAAGAAAAAATAACGGCACTGTGCTTGTAGAAAAGCAGACACATTGTCTGCAAATTTCCAATTGATTTAATGCTTGTTTCCTTGTTATATCATGTCAATTATCTTTCTTTCTCAGATGGGAATTCTGGATTTGGAAGTCTTCTGTCAATTGGTCATTCCTCTGGTGAAACAGACAGACTTTACATGAAAGGTGTAGGGGATTCTCATCCATGACAAAGACGATCACTTGGAAGAAGTTCTACTTGTATTTGCATAAGAATTGTTTCTTTGCAGTATTGGGCTATGACCTAAAAGTTTTGGAAGACTCGAGATTGTCGGTTTCAAAAGTGATTTCTGGCCTTGATTGCTATAATGATTCTTTTCCGCATTGGCCAACCAGATCAACTTTGAGTTGGGTATCTATCTTCTTCAAACTTTTTATAAATAAGTGCATAATGTAGGATTAAACGAGACTGTATATATTACTTGCGGATACTTTTCTCGATAGCCACACAATATATTTGGGGGAACCGGTGCTGGCCTCTGAAAGTAAACAAAGGGCAATGAGATATGATGAAGATTTATGAGCTTTAGGGTACACTATGCCTGGGCTCTACTTGCTGGCTTTAGTGTGCACATGGGAAAAGGCTCCACCAGGTTTGCCTGCGCCTCAAGTAATACTCAAATATGGCAAAGTTAGTTCTTCCTCTTGCTGTTGGGACGCCTGGCCATATTTTTGCAATCGTGGGAAATGTTGACGCTTCATATGCTCCAAATATATACACTATTTTTGGACTTTGCTACCCTTTCTAGCTCTATCTATACTTATAGTTGAGTCAATCATATCCTAATCAAATCCCGGTCGGGTCCTTCGTTACTTTATTATTATCTAAATTATGAAAAAAAAAGACTTAATACCAGCTTTAATACAGAATTATTACTATTTTTAAAACATAACAAGCTTAAAAGTTTTGGTGTTGTACTCAAACTTTCGGTCGACATATTATCATATCCAAGCATCCTTGTTAAAAGAAAATGGGGCACATGAAGGCCACTTGTATATAGAAGTTGATTAAAGCAGTTAAATTAGGACATACATCTATATAATAAATTTACAAATAAAAGGACGGGTAGCTATTGGTTGAACTAAATTTCATAAAATAAAAGGCAAATGAAATTATACGCTGCAGCATGAGCGATCGTATGCATGCATGTTAGCCTCCACTACAGTCTATAGTATTATAAATTACAATATTTTTAATGGCCTTTAGAGAATGGCTTGGTAGCTAGGTACCCTGAAATTAATAGAATCAAGACTAACAGCCGAATAAAAGAGAACTTCCCCAGTAAAGTTAACTAAAACTATCAAGCAAAAAACAATTATGCTTCAACTTCCAACAACTAAGAAAACTACCAGGGAATCTTTGCTGCGATCAGTTAAACCGCTAAAGCATATTTATGCATACATTTCATATATGTAATGGAAAAGCAAATCATCAGTGTAGTAAAAGGTCACACGACGCACTAGTAACCTAAACAAAATGCAAATTCTAATTCCTCCACAAAACTTCTTTTTTAGATTTCTTTTGCATCATTGCATGGACAAGAGTAAAAAAGTACCTTAAATGATTCTTATCATACGGGACCATATGGATTTATGTTTTTTTTATAATGATATGATATATGGGATGATAACTATAACTATAATTGATTGTATAAACAAGATATATGAATTTTTCGTGGAAAAAATTATAAGAAAAAGTCAAGGATAAAAGAGAAAAATTCAATATAATATCCAAATTATAAGCATTCGCTGCTATAACACCTCATATGAATTGTAAGGTATTATCCTTTTTATAACACTAATCTTATTATCTATTTATAGACTAATTAATTGATAAAAGAGATTTAATATTACAAAATGTGCATCTTGATATAAATTTTAATTTTCAGTTAAGTGCTAACAAAAAAAGTATAATTTTATACTAATTGATCGAGCAACAAGATCATACTGAGAAGGCTCGACCTCACACCTTTAATCAGGATCATTGATAGACTCGGATTCAAGAGTTTCCGCATCCATCATATCTTTTTTAACTATTTCTTTTAATTTATTTCTTCCACCAATTAAATCGTTCTAATTCCGAGTCGAATTAAAACAAAATTTGAAACTCAAACTATACCATGGAATATAATTAACTTAATACACTAATACGATATCTCCTTAAATCAAAAAGTAAAAAATGGACAGCGTAAATAAAGGTAGAAACTACAAACCGTTTTTCCATAAATAAAATATAATTTGCAAATAATATTACACTATAGTTGACGAAAAAACCAAACGTGCAATACATATACGTTTGCAATTGTCTTTTCCCTCACATGCAATGTCCCTTCACAATCAAATATCATAACTAAGAAACTAAGCTACAACCTTCTTGTCCTCCTATCCTATGTTGTCTTTAAATCCATATTTTCTTATGAATAATTTTTTTATGTGTATTTCCCGTTTCATTTGCTTCAAGTTACCAACCACCCCCACAGAATCTAAGGAAACTAACCCTATTGGATATCGAATTTATTTTCCATTCAACTTATTATTCATCTAGCTTGACGTAGTATTGTTTCAACAATAAACATATTTTAATTTAATTGTAAAATATATAAAGTTTGAACAGAACTTAACACAATTGCTTGATAATCTCTCACCACTCTCTACGAACACCTTTATATTTTATATTTTAAAAAATAACTTTTTTTAAAATATATATATATATATATATGTTGTTTCTCTCCGACGTATCCCACATGACTTCTGCTCTTTGTCTCTATGATAAATATATGTATAACTTTTCAATCAAAAATATTTTTTTAATCTTTTTTGGTTTGATGCTTCGTGATTAAGGTAAACCTAATCTTCTTCTCTTCTCCCACGATAACTTTAAACCAAAGGATAATTAATTAAAAAATATGTATAGTATTTTAACATTTGTTTTGCAATGGTAACTTTATTTTTGCCTTTAAAAAAAAAAGTATGATTCCAAAATCTTTTATTACCAAAGGACCCCAACCCTTCCCTTTAAATACCCTTTCCCTCCTCTTCTTTCCTTCCCTTTTCCTCTCTTCTCTCACTTGCTACTACTATTGATTCAAAAACCGTTTTCGTTCTCCTGTTGTGTTTGGTCTAATTGACCCAATGTTCTTGTCTGAAGAAGCTGACCAGTTCGAATTACCGGTTCACGAAACCGGCTTCACACGCGAAGAGCTTGAAGAGTTATTATCTCTTCTCGAATCGAATGAACCGGTTGGTCCAAACTCTGGTTCAGAAGGCTCGACCGGAGCGGTATCTTCTCTTGAACCTAATGAACCAGTCAGTCCAAACTATGGTTCAGAAGGTTCAACTCGGGCGGTGTACTCGGCAGACGAGAGGAAGAAAAGACGCATGGAATCGAACCGAGAATCAGCGAGGCGGTCCCGTTGGCGAAAAAGGATGCACTTGGAGAACGTCACGGACGAAATTAACCGGTTGAGCATAGAGAACCGGCAACTTAAAAACCGAGTCAGTTCGGTCATGAATCAATATCACATTGTATGGCGAGAAAATGAACAGTTGAGATCCGAATCCGTAGCTCTTTGGGCCAAACTCTCGGATCTTTACTGGACTTTAGCCACCATGCAACCTCGATAGCGTATATTGCAATATTAAACCTTTTACTTTGAAACTAAATCACTATCACGCCCCCTTCCCCCTTGAAATTAAGCTCTAATTAAGTGAACTAAACTATTGAATTTTTTAGCAGTTACAGAAATAAGTAGAGCTTAATTTCACTTTCTCTCTCTCCCTACTTAATTATATAAATATTGAGAAAAAGTGGTGGTTTTGATAAACCCCACGTTTGGTATATTGTAAAAAGTATTTTGTTTAGGTCTTTTTTATAGCATTTGTCTTTCTGACTACAATAATGCGGTAGTCCGTGGCTTTGTACATGTGTCTTGCCTTCCTACATGCTGTATATAATTCATGGGTCAGTATTATATTTTTATGAGAAAATGCATTGCTTTACTCTTCTTTTTATGACCAGTTTACTGTTAATTTGGATGGGATTCATGAATTAAAGTGTTGACAAAGTTTATAATTAGAGCAGCCGACAAACAATATGACGCGCACTCGTGGGTCCACACGTATGTGGTTAGGTTTAAATCTCCGTGGTCGGTTGTTACTTGTTAACTTTAAAGCTTAACACTGTGTACACTGTACACTTATAATTTCTCATGTGGAAAAAGTTGGCAAGAATTAAAAAGAAGGGGAAAATGGGTTTAATGTGATTTTTTTAAGAAATAAATGAAATGTGCTTCGATTTTATTACTTTATTTAAGTGGGCTATCAATTACACACTATAATTCAACGTAACAAAAATTAATATAAGTTATGTATGTATAGATACAAACGTTTATTGTTAAATTATTAAGAGTTATTGAATAAATATTATTTTATATTCACTTTAATTTTTTAAAAATTAATTTTATTATAAATATTTATGTTTAAAATTATAAATAATTTTAGTTTTATTAATGTATGTTCTATAATAGGAGAAAAAATATAATCTGAATTTTAAATAAATAGGTGAATAGTGAAATTATTGACAATTTCTCATGTATTTTTGATTGACACCCACTAATTAAAATTGAATAAAAAATATTTACGAATTATAATGACTAATTGAAATACTTGAATTATACATAATATAATAAAAACTACTTAGTGTACATGATATTTTTTTTTGAAAAACTACACATGATATTTAAACATATGATACATGTATAATTATAAACAACAAATATAGGTAAGTATTATTATTTAGACTAATTTTCACACATGTACAATCTATACAAAGTAAAATCGTAACAGTTGGAGATAAAATTTGTTTTGTTTAACCCTTAGTTTAAATATGTTCATAACTTCAGTAGTTGAAGGAATCGTTGTTATTTTTAAAAGTCATGAGTTCGAGCATCAACAACTGCAGCAGAGTAATTGAACATTAATTATTAAATAATTAAAAGTATTTAAAACATATATTATTTTATAATTCCCTTAACTTAATAAAAAAAATAGGTTCATAAACGGACCGATTAAGGCGAAAAGCAAAAGGCAGTGCAAATTACAAAGTCACCCCTCTCCTCACACTCAATTTCCGTAACAAATCATATGCTGTTTTTTTTCCATGGCGGACATTAAAAGAGAGGGTTGATATAACTTATGTCTAAATCTCGCATCATCCAGTTTTTTTCTCTCAAAAACTTTACTTATATGATTTCTATCTCGAATACTCCACTCCTTTACAAGTTTGAGCTCGCCAAAGTTTATAGCTTTATTAATAATACCCCACTCCACCACCCCTCAAAATATTAAAAAATAAACTTTATTAAAAATTCTACGTTATTAAAATTCAAACCTTTAAATTATATATATATATATATATATATATATATATATATATATATCAAAGATAACTCTCAATTATTTGACATTGAACGTTTATACGCTTGACATTTCTGATATTCGAACTTGGGACTTCAAAGAATATCAACAATTCTTTTACCATTGAAATTGTTCGGTTCGTGTTTAAACTATATTTTAAATTAAATTTATTCACTTGATTCAATAATTTTATCTTAAATTTAACTAACTGAAGTTTAAAATATTTTTAATAATTTTAAATGAAAAAACAAAATTTTAATAATTTGATTTTTTTTATTGGAACCCGGAGTCAGTCCAATATAGACATCAAATCTCTACTTTACACTAACCAACCCCAAGCATGCAAGTCAAAAAGCAAAGGAGCCCAAGTCTTTTTCTTTCTTTTGTAACAAATGTGAAAATGGTTTTTTTTTTACTTGAAAAAAGAAAATGATTAATCTACGTAAACAAAAAAGCATGCATGTCCCTTCACATTATTGATTACATGGCATGCAAACAGGTTGATGATACTCTGAATTTGTAAAGAGATGGGGCCTTGATTATATAATGCAGGTGCACAGAATGATTTTGGATCTGTAGTCCCCATGAAATCAACTTAAAAAATAAAGCACAAAATTAGAAAAAGAGGAGATCTGGTAAGCCAACCACCAAAATAAAGAGATTGATAGCCAGTCCTCCTTTGCCATGAGTTAAGTATACCAAACTCAACACGATTTCACTTTCCACGACCTTTTTCATTTAAATTGATTTATATGTTGCCAAATGTTTGGTTCTTGATTAAATACAATTAGTTTACTGATTCGTTTTTTTCCATAATTTTTTATGATAAAAGGTAAGGAAATTATTCGAAATAGATCTTAAAATATAATGTGAGTTAAAACTAAAGTGATATCACTTGTCAATACACTATAAATTTAGTTAATGATATTTTTCTTACATAATTTGCTGATCAGTTAGCTTATCATATCAGTAAATCAAAGTTTTTCTGCAAAACTTAAATAAATTTATTAATTTGTTCTCTCTTATAATTTTTTATAACCAATTGATTGATATATTTATATTGAGTATTGCAGAAATCCATTATAAGGACAATTTTTTTAATTTATTTTGTTTCTTTCGCAGCAGATTTATGGTATTGAATTTTCATGGGTATCAAAGTTGTCAAGAATACATTTTCCGACTGAGAAACATAACTACTGGTTCACGTGTTAATAAGATAGTAGACAAAGTTACATGCATTTGCTAAGGAGTATGCGGTATCATCGTATTCCATTGTTTAGTAATGCCTAGGCTTTTAACAACGAGTGGTGGTGCTTCCTATTTTCTTTTCCCTAAAAGAACAAAATTTTCTGTAGGTGACGCAATAAAGATCATGCATTTCAATATTCATCTTAAATTTCCAAAAAAAAAATCACTATTTTTCGGTAAATTGAATTTTATCATTAAAATAACTGATATTGGCTCTTATGAACTGTTTTGTACATATCTGTTAATTCTTTTACACATTTTATTTCGCATCAGTAGTATCAAAGCTAAACATTTTTATTGTGACAAATAATAAGCTATAAGCCTGATGGTAGACTAACGCCATTAGAAGAGACGATTGCATCGTTACGAGAGAGATTTGTCCATCTTCTAGACTATTTTTATTATGGGTGACATGTGCCTATATTTTGTTATATTTGTTTTATGATACGTTATGTTTTACTACTAATGCATAAACTTTTACGGTGCTGGTTATTTGGAATTCCATACTTATGCATGATGTTTTTTTGTTACTTTTACTCGGTTTGAACTTTATAAATTTTAAATTATGTTTTTCATTACTCGATTTTGAAAAGGGGTTAGAAATGTTTTAGAATTGTTTAATGTACACTAAACTTAGTCGTGACACATAGGTTGGGTCTAGAGAGTTACACAAGTATTGATGTGGCTTGTGGCAGTTCCAAACTGTTGAAGATATATTAATATAATATTCTAGTACAATTGAATAATATTATTAATTGTGAAGTACTTACCGAAATGCTGTGACTTGTGGCAGTTCCAAACTGTTGAAGATATACAATGTGTCATATTTATAAAAACCAAGTTTGATTTTAAGTTATGAAAGAAATGTCAATTTGAAATAATTTTAATATAATATTCTAGTACAATTGAATAATATTATTAAGCAGATTTAAGAGAGAAGTTGTTCTAGGTGAAGTATTGTTTAAAAATATTCCCATTCGAAATATATTTTTAATGAATTTAAATATATTATAAATTAATGCACAAAAATATATTATAACTTAAGCAAATAATTAAAATTTCAAAAAGATTTGTCATTATCTATAGTTTGTACATCATGGGAAAAATTGTCCAAACATGGCCCACACATCCTTGGCCACGAGAGCAAACCTTTTGGGTTCAGGTTGTAGCTAAATTGGGCAAATAGGGAACCCAGGTAAATTATTTGGCCTAATAGGGCAGCCAAACGTTTTTTTTTTTCCAAATTTGTTAAAAATTTATACAAGTTTCATATTTTTTTAAATTCGAAACTTTAAAAAATTTAATATTTTTTTTAAAATTTATTAAAAATTTCTAAAAGTTTCATATTATTTTTAACTTCGAAATTTTAAAATTTTTATTTTTTCCAATTTTTTTAATTACACTAAATATCAATAAAATTTAAACAATTCTAATTTTTTTATAATTTTATAAAAGTATACTTTATTAATTATAATTTAAATAATTAAACAAATTTATTACTTAAAAATGAATTTTTGATACAATTTAATATTGACTACAAAAACTAAATAAACAAATTTATTACTTATATTTGTTCAATTCTTACCGATGTCGAGACGTGGTAGAATGGTAATGACGTGGTGCTCGTCAATTTCGTCGTAGTCGTCTATCTTCTTCATTTTCTTCTTCTTCCGATTTTGGTGTTCCGAACACTACACCACTTTGATATACATCTTCGGGTGAAAACGATGGAGTACTCAAAGTATTTGACGCCATCATTGACGTCACGCCGGCGTGACGAGTCCCTAAAAATATATTAGATTTATTCTGGTTATGGGACCTACCTAACACGGCCCATTAAAAAATTATATCTCAAGAAACTCGTCACGCGTTTTATGGGGACTGCTGCAATTACCGTAGATCCCAAATTAAATGTTTGGGTGCCCTATTGGGCCAAATAATTTACGTGGTGCCCTATTTGCCCAATTTGACCTCAGGTTATCCAATGCGGAGTCAGCAGTTCCAAACCTAAAATAGACGTTACAAGATTTCCATTTATGGCAAATTTGAATTTCCATATAGGATATATTAATTTATATATGGTAACAGATTAGGTTAAATCATGTTTTTCAAAAAAAATCTCTAACAACTACAACAATCAAAATTAATAGTTGTAGCATTATCATTTTAAGTATAACTTAATATTTACACGAATCAACTTATCTCGGTGGTTAAAAGAATTGTTGTTGTTCTCATAAGTCATGTTTCGAGCACCAACTACTGCAGTAGGATGATTGAGTTTTCATTGTCAAATGATTGAGAGTATTTAGAACATATATTATTTTGTAATCACCTTAGTTTAATAAAAAATATATATAATCTAATTCAGATTTTACACACTCACATTCATGAAATCTAACATTCACAAGATGTCCATCTAAAATCATTTTAAAATTTATTCAAAATATGTTAATTTATAGATAATAACAGATTAAATTGAATCAAGTTTTCGGCAAAATCTTTTAGAACTACAACAATTACAATGAATAATTGAAGCATTATTATTTTAAGTAACTACAACAATTCTATCCAAATATTCTTTCAAACTTATCATCACTACCTCTTCTTTAATTTAAACATTTTAATATACAAATCCCATATATTTTCTGCGTTCCAATCCACTTTCACATCACCCAAACGTCTCTTAAATCCAACTCCGACCAAAGGCAAAGGTGATTGAAACAAACTAATAGTAATTGAATTCGAATTTAGAAATAAAATTAAAATATTTTTATTAGATATCTCTATTCTTTGTGATATTAGTTTATTTATAACGTAAATTATATGTTTAGTATCCTAACTATTATTTTTATTTTATTTTGATCACTTAATTATTATTTTTCTCAAATTATATATAATATTACGTTTTGGTTTTATTTTTTTCATTCAAGTTAAAAAATTAATAGAATTGCTTAAGTGATATTTATAAAAAAAATCAAAGATGATGTGGCATTATGTTATAATGACACATCAATATCAATATTAATAAATGCAACATTAGATATGATTTTGAAATAAAAAGTAGTTGAATGACCAAAACGGAACAAAAGTAATGCTTTAGATACTAAACTTGTAGTTTAGCCTTATATATATAGAGAGAGAAATGAATGCGCTTGAAGAAATGGAAAACGAGGGCAAGACAAGGAAGAGGAAAAAGAATTTTCGGAGAAGAGTTGGTAGAGTGATTAGTTGAAAAGATAAAGGCTAGTTGCCTACCTCAATATTATTAAGGCTTTATTGTAAAATAATTATTAATTACGCTCCTTTTTTTACTTTAATTATCTATTTTTAAAATAGGCTTTAATTATATATTTTTAATTAAATTAAATGATTAATTTTCATTTTCTAGTCATTTGATAAAAAAGATTCATTACCAAAGGGATAAACTCTCAGGGTGGAAAGCACATAACCTATCCTTGGTAGGTAGAGTTACTTTAGTTAAATCAGTTCTTTCCGCGTTCCCTTCGTATTTTATGCAATCGAGCTCATTACCAAAGGGAGTCTACGAGGAGATTAAAAAGCTGATGAGAGGTTTCATTTGGGGAAGTATTGATAAAAAACAGCGGGTTCACCTTGTGTGTTGGGAGGATGTCTGTTCGGAGCATAAACAATGTGGACTTGATTTGCGTGTTTACAAAAGCAGAACGAACCGATGCACATGAAGATTGCTTTCAGATTAATAGCGGAAAGAAATCGTTTGTCGATTCGTGTTCTTCGATATAAATATAGGATGAATGAGGTTGTCCCAATGTCGATTGCCAAATCATGTTGTTCTCGATTATGGAGGGTTGTGAACTTGCTATGGTAGGACACTTCTGAGGGGATCGTGTGGAGTCTAGGCGATGGGGCATCGGTGGATTTTTGGAATGATAACTGGCTGGGCGAAGTGGGTCGGCTCGGGACGCATGTCCCATGCAGAGTAGTGGTGTTTCAATGGCTACTAAGATTGCTGAAATGGTGGACGTTAACGGCGACTGAAAGTGGAACGTTTTTCATAATTTAATCCCTTCTCCGCTTATCCCATATATTGTTGCAGTACCTTCACCACTCGCTGCTGGGGGTGAGGATAGATCGGAATGGAGATGGGAGAGTAGCAGCCCGCTCACGACGAAGAGTGCATATAAACAACACACAAAGGATTCGGAAAGTCAAGATAATTGTAGCTAGGAGTTTATTTTAAAATACAAGGGACTTCCTCGTGTCAGATGCTTGTTGTGGTTGATATATAAGGGTCGCCTGTTAACGAATGAAGAACGATTTCGGAGGCATCTTGCACCGACTGCAGGTTGTGCATTGTGCGAGGACTCGGTGGTGAAGCGTTCAGCTTGGGCAAGTGTTATTCATCCGGATCGTTATTCGAAATTTATAGAGATAGATACGGTGCCTGGGTCAAGAAGAATCTTAGTCAGCCAAAGCTACTTTCCATCTCATGCTGACGGCTGAGATTTGTTATTTGGAGCGATCGTTTGGAACATTTGGATGCGAATGAATATGTTGTTCTTTAATGAGGACTTTGTGGTGGGTGATAACATTCCCCAGCTGAGTAAGGGCTTGGTTAGTGAATCGATACTTACCCAGGACCCAATGAATGCTCTAGTATATCAGAGGTCTGTGGTCAACCGCCAAGGTGCGAAGTGGTGTCCACCTTCGATGGGATGGTTTAAGTTGAATTCAGATGGTGCTCGATATGTTGACTCGGGTCATAAAACATGTGGGGGTGTCCTTCGCGATAAGAATGGTAGATGGATTATGGGTTCTGCCAAGAATATTTACATTTGCTCGGTACTTGATGCGGAGTTATGGTGTATCTTTGAAGGTCTTAGGTTGGCTTAGGAGTTGCAGCTTGGCGCGATTGTGGTGGAGACGGATAGCGGTTCGTCGTTATTCCCACACATCTTAAACATGGTGAGGAGGAAGTGGCGAGTGCTTTTCAACCACATTCCTCGTGCAACTAATACCGTTGCAGATGGAATGGCGAAGCTGGCGCGAGCTGACAGTATGGGCTTACGTTACTTCCAAGATCCTCCGGTTACTGTGGAAGAAGCCTATCTGAAAGAAACCAGAGTTCATAACCATGTTGAAGCTATAAACTATACCACCTTGCTGTTTTCTCATTCTCATGCAAGAAAAGAAAATGTGACACTTGATCTTTGTCTATCTTCTGCTATTACCCTCTTAAATTTTTGTAAGAAAAATAATGGGAAAATTTAAAATCCAATCCGATTTTAAGAAATTAAATAATTCTATCTCAAACACTTTAATTTTGAGAATTCAAATATTTTCACTCAATCAATTTCAATCTATAAATTTTTATTCTTATATTTTATTAAAGTATCTTAAGACTTCAAATCTTATCTCAACTTTATAGAAGTGTATCTATGCGAAAGTGATATCAAGATTTAGTCTGAACATATTTTAATTTTATTTATAAGTACGAGTTAGATGAAGAAACCAAAGCATGAAGAACTTATTAGTGAAGGATGATGATTTCTTTTAGATGTTGATATAAAATCAATCGCAACATAAAACATTTAATTTAATAAATAAAATAAGCATTTAAAATAGAAAACAATATAATCTAGACATTAATTTTATAATAAATCCTATTATTAATTAGAGATTGTGAAGAAAAGGGGGGCCGATGTCATATACCATCAATCATGTTCTGCATCCACATCATGTGGTAGTGGTGGAATATGTATATACCCACATATTATAATATTATTATCGTTGGCCAAAGAAGAATATGATTCCAACATTCGATCCCACCATACATCATGTCCGTGTCAATCATATTTTACTTTTGTTTTCTTTTCAAATTATTGTACAATTGTTTACCAATACCGATTCATGTCCAAACGGGGAATTCCAAGGACATAAAAACAAAATGGAAAAGCATGCAAATCATGCAAAGGGAAATGATGATCTGACCTCAAGTTACTTGACATAGAAATGTTATCCAAATAATGTCAAAACAGAGCAATCATTTATACCCTTCATTCCCATCTAAAAGATGCTTCAATTTAAAGTAGAACGAAAAATAAAGCAGTTTTCTTTATGTGTTTTCCCCCCTTTAATGAGCATTAACTAAGTTCACGACTAATACATGGCCCATTAAACCATGATATCGCGTGCGTGCCCTACAGTTACGGGAAAGCAAGATGAAATGCAGGTTCATAATGTAAACGTGTTCAGACATTAATACATGTAGATGATTTGAAATTAGGTTTTTTTGTAATTAACAAGACATTAGGAATTATGCGTTCAATTCGCCTTTGATCCTATCAGCAATGATGACTAGTTATGGACCAGCATTCAAAAGTATCCAAACAATAAATAAATTCCGACACGTAATATAAAATGAAAGGGGAGGACGGATGCCTTGATTAAAAGATTGTTACATAACCCAACAATTAGGGTCTAGGGAGCTCTTGGAAGTTATCTCAGCAGTTAAAGCTACATATAACCTTAGGGTCTTTTGGAGTATGTATGTCTTCCCTTGTTTCTACTCTTTTTCACTCCCAAGCTGACAGATTATCTGTTTTCCATCTTTTTGTTTCCTTTCTTGTTGGTCAACATACTTAAACCATTGAGCTTTATTTTTCAACTCTACCACCCTTCAGCCTAACACTTGCTCAAATGGCCACTAGGAGCAGAGCATTTAAGGCAGGGAGGCAGCTTGGAGAATTCCTCCAAGAAAAGCAAGAGCCTTTCGTCTTAGAGGTTTACCTTTCAGAAAAAGGGTGTGTGAAAAAGAAGATAATTTCAGGAATTAACTTCAACTTCAGTTGTTGCCATGCCAATTCGGCCAGGTTCTTAAACAAGTCTGATAGTCAAAAAGACAGCAAGAAGGATTCTCCACAATTTCCCAAGGTTCTTAAAGTTATACTACGTAACAAGTTGTTTAAAATTAAAGGCTTGATAACCAAGAATTCCGATAATGAAGATGGAAAGCTTAGTGTCATTGAGATGGACATAAATACCCAAGAAACTGCAGAGGCAGATAGATTTTCATCTGCTAGCAGCGCAACAGTGTATAATTCATGCTCCGATAGTGACATAGATGAACCACGGATGGTTGCCGACACTTGCGTATCTGACCACAAACTCGACGGTGAAAGGGAAAAGAAGGTAAACAAAATGTTAATTCGTTGTTCCTTCTTCTCTTTACCTTTTCATGACGAAAGACGTAAGTTTGTTACTCATAAAGCTAACAGGCTGCTGCAGAGTCAAAGTTTGGATGGAGTTGCATGGAAGAAAATAAACAGCATAGCCCTCAGTCAGTGTTAGAGGAAGTGTCTACTTCAACATGCTCCCCACTCGATACTCGTTAGTATCTTTAAAGTTGCTAAGCTTTCATAATTGCTTCCCTTTTGATTAAAGTTGAGTACTAATTCACCTCAAACAGCAAGAAAGGTTTCCAGCAAAAAGGCTCTTCAAGGTGGACTCAATACTCTCACCTTGGCTCTTGAATTTACTTGAAACCAGGGCAGAGGAATCAAGGTGTGCCTGCGCGGGATTAAAACAACACAAAATGCCTGATTGGTCCAGTTCTTTGATTGTACTAAAAAGTTGGTAGAAAATAAGCATGGCAAGGAACAGAAAGGCAAAGGAAAAGGGTCTGCTAAGGCGATTCCAAGGGTTAGGTGTGAAAAATTCAAGGGATGGGGAAAACGACTCGGAGATGAATCCATTATTAAGCAATTGTTGGAATTAGATATAATGAATTCAACCCAGTGGAGGAATGATTTTGACTCCCAGAAATGGAATATCGGGATGGTAGTTGGATGCGCTATTGAAGAGGAGATTACAAGTGAAGTCCTAATGGACTTTATGAATGTCCTATAGCTAACATGTAAATTGCTTGCTTGTTTCAAAATTTAATTATGGTGTCTGCTTTTAATTGCTATTCAACTGTTGCTGTTACTGTTTAAATTTGTTCCTTCATATAAATGGACCTAATAAATTTGAGAAAAGAATGAAGTTAACTAAAAATTTATATGAAATTTACCCAAAATTGCTACATTCTATTGTAAAAAAATTAATTTTTGATCACTTACATTATTGATTTATTAAATTTTAGTCATTTACGTTATCAATTGTCAAGGACGGGTCCAAGATTAAATTATGGACTGAGTTAAATTAAATTATGAAGGGACAAAATGGGATTGAAATATTGGTTCATAATCAGAATAATGACCATTATATAATGGTAAAGATATTATTTAAAATCGTTATTGGGCAACTGCGATACCCCCAATAACCTCAATAGCACTTGCTATTGTCATAATCGCGATAAACGATACGCAACCGAAAACGTTACCGTAATTTTAATTTAAATCCCTTGGGCAAGTTTTTAATTTTAAAATAAACATGATCTTAAAATATAATTAAATCATAAAAAGTAAGAGTTTGGAGTTTAGTTCTACTAATTTTAAAATTTAAATGTCTTCAAAATAATTAAATCAAATAAATTTTGGGTCAAGACTTACTATATTAATCTTAGAACTGACGAAATCCAAAAAAAATAATTATACCAAGAAATTTAGGGGACAAGGACTTAATTATAATAGTTTTAAAATATCCAATGACCTAAAATGTAATTAGTCTGTCAATGTTAAGGGGGCAGCTGCCACTCCCATTCATAACGCGGCTTCATCCCTATCGATTGTTATATTTAAATCACTAAACCGTTAATTTATGCTAGTTTGATGATGTAACATGTTAATCAAAATAGTTTAATTTTTAATTTGACCTTGAAAATTAGATGAAATATAATTTGAACTCGTAAACCTTAGATGAAATATCAATTTAAGCCATAAATTTGATCAAATAAATTTGATCAAAGTCTCTTGTTGTTAATCATAGCTCACAACCATCGTTGCTGATAGGCATCGTATGTGGTCATTGTCGGCTGATTCTAACAGTTTTAGTTCACTCATTTTTTATCTCATGAATGTGAATTTTATGTTTCTCAAATCCAACAAATAGGACCCTTAAATTTCCTTTAAAATTAAATCGTAACAATAAAATTTATCATTAATATTCACTTGGTGTGTGATTTATTTTATGTTTATCTCAGTTTGTTTAAATTTTTTACATTCACAAGTGTTAGTTATTTTATGTATATCTCAGTTTGTTTAATTTTTTTTTTACATTCACAAATATCTAACACATTGACTAGGATTTTATTTCTGGCTTTCGGTCTTGTTTCTTGGGCTGGTGGAATTTATCTTAGGTATTTTGGATAAGAAATTGTATTGTGTTGACGAGTTATTTTTCCTCATTAATCCCGGTCTATGTTAAAGTTAAAAGCCATACGAAGTTTTCCTTGTATCTACACCGATCCACTTGTTATTAAGCAACTTTCTTTTTTAATAAAATAAGTTTGTCCATAAAAAAATTTCTATGATAAGTCCCGTTAAATATAATAAAATAATGATCCACATGAAATTCATTTAACTTGAATCATTAAAATAGTATATCCAACTGAACAGGTGACGAGCTCACCTATACTCTAATTTTTGTCGTAGATTATAAAATAAAATTCGAAACATCCTATTAAGCCCAATAATTTCTAGACCCTCAATACTAGACCCAAAAAAACATATTTCTTACACACGGCAATGACCTATCGTATCATAAATAAGTACACACACCTTTGGTTTAATATTAATTTGGATCAAACCAATGTTCTTTTTCAGTATATGGTTTCGTAGTAATTTAATGATCATTTTATAATAATTTAATAAAAATTAATGATTATTTTATAATATTTTAATTTTTTTATAATCATTAACATTTTATAATAATTTAATTTTTTATATTCATTAACAATATGTGCATATCCTATATATATATATAACTATTCAAATTCAAGGGTTTAAAAAAAAATTCAAATTCAAGACATCTAAAAAAATAACACTTCATTTAACTATTTAAATCACTTGATAAATTTTATCATTATTCTTATTTTTATTAATCTTATTATACCCTGCTCAAGGATTGGATAAATGATTAAAGATAAAAAGAGAGTATTTTTAATAGTAAAAAGATTGCAATGTAAATTAGGTTCTAAACAAAACGTTCAATTCGAACTATTTTGTAATTAAATGCTGCATTAAAATTAAGATAAGGATAATCATCAACTAACTTAAATTTAAGTTAGGATTATGAATAAAGATTAACCAACAAATCTTGAATCTTAACTGATGGAAAAGTTGTTATAGGATCATAAGAATTGGATGTCAAATTCATAATGAGTACCCAATGTTTGTAAATTTAGCAAGGATTTCAAATGGCATATAGGAGTTGGTTGTATGATCAGCATAAAGCATTTTATTGTATATGCTTCTGTGATAGTGAACAGCTCCTTAAAAACAAATTTGGTGGTGTTTAAAGCCCCAACCAGAGAACACATTGGGTAAGGGTTACGCACACCACTACATTTATAAATTCCTTGGCCATGTTAGATGATCCTTGGTTAAGGCTAGTACTTGATAAGAACAAGGTTGTCAATGTTCTTTACGGGCTTCTAAACTGTTTTCTGCTACAGCAACTGATGTTCAGCCTGTAAATCAGTAAATCAGACTTCATTGTTTTCCTAACAGACCAGTGGATAATATAGGTAAATAAATGAACTTCTGATCAAACTTATGAGTTGCCACATCATTTTTATGTTAGTATTCTACTAAAGGTTGCATTTTTAATGTTTGTATGTGAAGGTTCTTCCTCCGAACATATCTTTATTCTGGTTAGCCAACTTTTATGTCTTTCTAAATATTGTTGGAGGACGGGACAAGAATCTTTTAAAATATAGTTTTCGGTCATAGGTTATTAAATAAAAAATAAATTAATTTCCTATCAAACCTGGTACTGCTATTTGATAACTCTCCAAAAAAGTTATCTTTAGTATTTTTTTTTACTTAGGTCTAGTTTGAACTTGAGCTTTTTAGGAGCATTTTAGGATTAAATTTACTTAGTTTTATACATTCTGCATGATAGGAGCATTGTGAGTTACCAAGGGCGCACTAAATTTGATTTTTGCTACTGAAAACTGTTACACATATGTCGTAGCATTGCAGGAAATACTGAGTAGATGCTACAGCGGTCGTCTAAGCTCCATACGGTTGGGAGAAACTTCTGGATTGGGACATATGGCTCGGGCAGCTGTCATTAGATTGGATACCACCTGAAACGTGGACATCTTCTATTGGGAGATAGATTCTCATCCAAACTATAAAATGAGAGTACTTGCACGCAAAAAGTGTGATCATCGAGAGCCATTAAAAGTATCCAAATTTCCACGTTCAATCTTCGTACGCCATGGAAGCCTAAGCCTTTGCTAGGGATTGCTGCAGCTCAAGGAAAGCTTGTTGAGTAGCATCGACGGTCAGCGAATCAGCATTCAAGGCCTTCTATTGATAGAGGGAGTGATTTGAATGTTTAAAACTCTTGTTGGATGATATTATGAATTTTCTATTGTGTTTACTTTGACACTTCTTTTATGATTACGAGTAGAATTACTTATAATTAAATATATAGTATTGTCAATTATTTCTAAAAATAGATTTACTTGATTTGTTATATACCTTTGGAAGTATTGGTGTTGCTGAGTAGCATAGTGTGTGTTGAAGAGTATGCAACCAATTGATTAGTGTTGTTAATATTTTGAGCCTTTAATTGATGAAAGTAGTTAATGTAGTTCAAAAGATTTTAATCAATGTTGATTGCATAAATTGAGTATGCATTGTTTATATGAGATTTGAAGCTCATAATATTACATCCATGGATTTGATAGCTAACTTAGTGCTTTCTGGAATGTTGTAGCATGAGCTGGTGTTTTTCCTTATTGATTTTATTACTTTCTTTTAGTGTTTCTTACATTTGATAAATCTTATAATTGCAAACTCTAATGATAACACTCTGCTCCTTGTGGGTTCAACATTTGTAGCATTCAATTGATGCCACTTTATTACTTGAATGATATGTATACTTGCGTTAAATGCTATAACATCTTACATAGCATCACTAACGTTGGTAAGGAATGGTTCAGGTTTTATTGTGAAAGGTTAAGTTTAATGGTAGCATCTATATATTTGTAATTAGAGAACGAAACTCCAGTCATCGGAGTAAAGACCTACTTTGAGAAATCAATTATGAAATCTCATAATACAAGATGAAAAAACAAAAGAATAGGGAAAAGAGAAATAATAAGAAAAAAGAATTTATTCATTCATATCCAATTATACATAAGTCGGCCTTATTTATAGCTCAATACACAGAATGACATAGCCCAACAACTATAACATAAACATAAACTGACTAAAAAACTCAACAGTCAACTCATACTATATACTCTAACATCTTCCCAGTTCACTTATCTTCTTTAACTTCAAGAAGTGAAACAACTCCTAGACGACGACGCATTGGAAGAAAATATGCAAGAGGAATGAGTTTTATCAAAACGTCAGCAAATTGCTCAGCTAAAAGAATAAAATTCACCAGCAGCTGACCGGTAGAAACTTTTTGCGAACAAAATGCATGTTAATTTCAACATGCTTGACACAAGCATGATAAGTGGAATTGGAAACCATGGAAATTGTGGATGAATTGTCACACCAAACCACCGGTTTACTAGAAAGAGACACACCCATCTCTTCCAACAATTGTTCAAGCTATTCAATTTCTAAAACTGAGTTGGTTAAACTGCGATATTTTGCTTTCGAAGTGGACCTAGACACCACATTTTGCTTCTTGGAGCACCAGGAAATAAGATTCCCACCAAGAAAAATACAGTATCTTGTAGTAGATTGTTGATCATCTATCGATGTTACCCAGTTAGCATCCGCTTAACATATAAGATTATGAGAGCTAGAACATTGATAGTTCAACCCATAGTCCACAGTCCCACATAAGTAGCGAAGAATTCGTTTGACATCACACCAATGAGTCTCACTAGGACTATTCATAAACTGACTA